AACATACTTTGCCATTATTGCACCAAATTTCAGCGTGAGTTCTTGATAGCACCTTGCTATCAAAAAAACCATTAGATTCTAATTAGAAAAACAAAAGGCAAGATAAGTCAATATTTCAACTAGAATAGGGAAACTTTTCTTTAAAAATATGATACCTAAAGGAGCGGAATGCCTATTAGTCGTACGCCCTATTTTGAGTGGTGTATTGGTAAGTTTTATTCTCTTTGTGCCAAAGGTGTCATTTGTAGGTTCTAAAACCAGTGTTAAGGACGACGCAGATGAGGACATGTTTTTGGTTTAATATATTTTTGTTTTCGAAATATCTAAAAAAAAAAAAGTTTTTTTTTCTTTTTTTTTTTTTTATATTTTTGTTGACATTTAAGAAATAAGGTTATGAAACATTTATCCTAAAAAAAACAAATCTGTGTTATGCACATAATGGATATTATTATTGTGGTAACAATTTATTAACAACCAAGAAAACTATATATATTTCGATTAAGATTAACGTTTAACGTTAAGGATGTAACGAAATTTATTTGTTATAAAATTTTAACTATACAAAAAAAAATAAAACCCGATTTGATACCAATGTGTAACAATAAATACACTAATCCGAATACGTACTTTCATTGTGTGTTGGCCTAATGGTCTGTGTTATTAAGTAAACCTTGTTTCAAAGCATTTTTGTTATATATACAAAGATACTCTGTAGCATATGTAAAAATATTACAGCAAAAGACATAACGGTTTTTTATTATAATTCGATAATACGTAATAATTAAATGAATATTACCGTTACAGTATCGGTATTAGGTGTGATTACTTAACGTTAAATATAGTCACGAATCAAGTTAATCTAATCAAATAAAGGATTTTGTTATTAGATAATAAAATTCTCACTCGTCTTTTAATGTCATGCAATGTAAGAAATCATACCCCCTAATGAATGACTGAATGATAACTCCAACTATGCCAACTATGCCTAACAAATCCATACCATTGTTGTTCTCTAGCCTGTTACCTCCCTGCCGGTCACTTATTTGCATATGTTAACGTGTATAAAAGTTTAGTCTCCTTACAAATATTATAAATGCTTAACAATTAGTCGCGAGTTTATTTCTGAAATGTTTGTTTTTTATTTCTTCATAATATGTGGGGGTAGGTTTCGTGATGCGTAAAAAAACTTTGTTTGACGATAAGTGTTATCATTATGTAATGTAGTACTTTTACTATATGTAGTGCTTAAATAAATTACCATGACGGTTGAATTTTAAATATTCATTATTTAACCTATTTAACCTGTTAAAGTTTTCATTTATATAACATCTTATGCAATTGAATAATACGTACGTACCAATCAATATACCTTAAAAATTATTGTTATATGTTTGCTATAATATTCGGACCTATCAGAAATTAATTTAATTAGCTTTGTTTTTTAAATCTATATATGTACTGTAAAAAAGAATGACTTACCATTACGAAACAAACCTTAGATGATAATGATAATATACAAATATAGTACTGGAATACTAATTATGGAATACTAATTCTGGAAATGACGTATCAGTATTGTGGTAATTGCTAATTTTCTATGGTTCCTATCACCCTATAATCCGTTGTAACATATGATCAGAGCCTATAACCAATAAGAACTGCAAAGGTAACGCATGGTTTTCATACATACTTTTTACTGATGACTTACAATATCGCCGCGCAATTGGTTTTATCTGCGTACACGAAGATCTTTAATTGACTCTGAAAATCATGAATGAATAAAGTATCAATGAACAACTAAAGTCTCGCACGGACTTATAGGGATATGTGCATGCGTGACAAACATTCTTGGTCATCTGTTATATTCGATATTCCAGTATTCAATCAATGAAGTTTTTTTAATGACATCATTGAAAAAATACAACGTATAGGAGGATTGTCCGCACATGTGATTCCGGGCTTCCGCTCGATTTCGGTGATCCGTGTCCGTGAAAAATTCTGTTACAAACCTTACGAACTATAGTGATACACAGTTAGTATAGTTTGTATTCAAATTCTCGTGATTTTTACTGTAAATAATAAAATTCTATTACAAAACTTACTAGCTATGATGACACACAGTATCACCACCAAAAATAACGTTGCACGATCAGGAAAAATCAAAACAAACGTTAGTCTTACTCTAGCATAACACTAACTCTAACTTTAACGAATTTCAAGAATTTTTATAGCTGTCACGTGAATGAATTTTTTTGGTGGGAAGATTACGAGGATTAGATCATTTGTAAAGTTAGTTTGTATTAGAATTCTACACTGTATGTAAAAAAAAGTTTTTGTATAAAACTTACGAATTTAGATGCTGGTGAAACTCTTGGTGAAACTCTGTGAAATTTAATATAACAGCCAATCAGATTTTAGTCACCAGTTTCACCAGCATTTATGATTACGACATAGTATGAATTCTCGTGACTACCGTGATTTACTGTATCGGTATGTATAGACTAGAGCTGCAGGTGAAACTAAATCACACTGGTGAAACTGGTGACTATCTGAAATCTGATTGGCTATTGCATTCAATAGCCAATCAGATTTTAGATAGTCACCAGTTTCACCAAGTTTCACCAAGTTTCACCAGTTTCACCAGCAACTCTAGTATAGACTATTGTGGTGACACACAGTATGTGGTTTAGATAATTCGTAGAGTTTGTATTCGAATTCTCTTGATTTCTACCGTGATTTACTGTATGCAAAAAAATTCTTTTACAAAACTTACTCGTTATAGTGATACACTGTATATGGTTATTTATATTTAGTATATTGAAGCCTTTTAATGTAATTTATAAGTTCATTTTACACTTACTACTTTTCAACTAATTTAAGGGCCATATATCATTTGGCTCATTCTCTAATAATTTCTTCAAGTCAGCAATTGATTCATTGTACAGTATCGCTTTGCTTTGTGTAATATTCGACTCCAATCATTCTATTAATAATAAATTGAATTGGTGATTATCAGTACGTATGTACAAGCAGAATGGTAATGAAATAATTATTAATGTTACCCATTTTTTCCGTTATCGATGATTTTAATTTCAAAATAAAAATATCTTATATTGTGAAGGAATTGGATAATTTGTTCGAACTATAACGGCTTTTTATCATCAGCGCCTTTAATAAAATTAACATTAATTGAGGTGTTGCTCAATATAATCTCCTTTTCATCTTTACCCGTATAATTCACTTAAAGTCCATTTGAGTCTGTTAATAAATAATCATCTTTCATCGGGTTAAATTTCTATTCAGATCCTTTGTTTAATTATACAAAAGCAACCTATGTAATTATCAATTTGTACGTGTGTACAAGCTTGTTATTATTTGTTGTATTATGTCGTAATCAGCTTGAGAATCATGTTCATGAATTGCCGGATAACACAAATACTGAGTCATGCGTTAATAAATATCATTCTCTCCGAGCAAATGATTGGTTGACGCGCACATGTCAACCAATCATTTGCTCGGGAGAACAAATTTCATTAATCGATG